ATCCTGGGCTTCTCCAGCACACCTGTCAGCTATCAAGTCACCACTTCTTCCTTTTAAAAATGTCTAGGCTACAACCACTTACCTCCATCCTCACTGCCACCACCTCTCCTTGGACCTCTGCCCTACATCCCAACAGGTCTTACCTGGTTCCTCCTCTGGTTTGGACAATCATGTTGGAAACCGCGGGGCAGCCTCAGGGGGAATCCTGGAGCCTTCCTTCACCCCGAGAGGAATCAGGAGGCTTAGGGACTAACCAGCAAAGGATAAAAGGGTAGTCATGGATGAAGACTGGCCTGTATTACTTGCGGGTGGGGCATGGGTACAACTCTAGGGTTTCTAGAGAAGAGATTAGGTTTCTGTTACTGGTCCATTCTTACTCAAATGATTCATGTACATACCTAACAGATGGATGCTGATGCTGTCGGAAGCTGCCAATGCTATACTTCAAGAAGGTGGGTCAGCCTTGCTTAAATGACAATCACATTTGTTCCTGTGTGCTGGGGTCCCAAGCACAAATCAGCCCTTCAGTAGATTTGAAGTCAAGGAACATGCAGGGGAGACTACTAATTGTGCCCTAATAATAATTTCCTCTTCTTCAATAAAACTCCTGAATTTTGGCCATGTAGAGTACCATCCTGAATAAAGACTATATATCTTAACCTCCCTTGCAGCTGGGTGTGCCCATATAATTAAGTTCTGGCCAACTGTGTGCAAATCATAATAGCATATGCAACTTTGAGGAGGTATACTCAAAGGGAAGGGGCATTTTCTTTTTCTTACCAGCTGGAATGTGGGTGTGATGGCTGGAGCCAGATCAGCCATTTTGTACCATGAGGTGAAAGCTGTATGTTGAGGATAGTGGAGTGGCCAGATTGGAGAAGCCTGGGTCTACTATACCAGCTCTGGACTGCCAGAGTTCATGTAAGAGAGAAATAAGTTATTTTGCTCAAGCAACNGTGGGAATGTTGCTTCTTGCTGCTTTTCACAAAGTCCTATAAACGTGAGATGAACTGGGGCTAGAGCCAGCTAGACTGCAAGGAGAGATGGGAGGGAATCCTGCTTTGCTCAGGGAGGCACTGTCTGTAGCCCGCACTCAAAGTCCATTAAAGTCTGGAAGTGCTGAAAATGCCAACTGCTTTTGCCCTCCAAACCGCAGCTATTAAGAGCAGTGACCTTGAAGTGACAGCCTTAGCAGGAGATAAGCCTGGGGCAGGAAGCTGTTTTCAAGACTTCTCTGCTAGAAAATGCATACTAGGTAGCTCTGAAGATCAAATTAGGGGAGTTGCCTTCCCATCTAAGCTTTTCTTCTAGGTAGCCTCAAGATAGCCACCTTTAAGTTGAGGAGGCAGGCATGAGCAGAGCACTGAATGCCAGGGTCTAGACCAGGTCTTTTGCTGTGGGCACTTGATGGAATTTTACTGGCAGAGAAACCACAAGCCTGGTCTTCCAGGAAGAAACCCCAGAGACTCCCCCCAAACAGCCTGAGGTGTAAGCAGACTACAAAAGCTATGCTGTCCCCAAGAAGGCCACCCTCTGCAGTCCCACCATGGCTGTGGCCATGGAGGTCAACAGAGTCCCTTCCAGAGAACAAGACTGGACAGTCAGGCTATTCCTGCACAGTGGTATCTGATAACCACTTGGAGCAGTGACTCCACATCTCCTGTTCTCCCCTTTCATGAGTGAGTTTTCAATGGCTGTTGTCCTGTTCCTACTTCACTACTGTTTATGGGATATCTTGGGAGAACATGACTTGTCTTTTGGTTTGTAAGTCACTAGACCACAAGAATCTGCCTAGAGCTGACAGAGAAGACTGCAAATCACCCAGTGGTGATTTTAGCTTTAGCTCCAGGCTGTAACCGGAAGGAGTCTGGGTCGACCCCTTTGGGGAGAAAAGGAATGAGCTCCATGTGGGAAAGAAGGGCAACCAAAGGGTTGTGCAAAGAATGGTAGTGAACCCATTCTTTGTTTCTCAGAAACAGAATCTTGAATCTTAGTTAGGCACATGGTTTCTTGGAATAAGAATGACCTTTCCTAGATGCCCTTGCAGTAGGTATGGCCCTGTGACTAAGTTCTGATCAACAGAGGTATGACATCCAGGTGACATCCCATCAGGGAAGGGGTCTTGCTTTTTTCTCCTCTTTCTCCATCCTGCTGGCTGGCATGTGGACGAGATTGGAGCAGCCATTGTGGACCTCAAGGTAGAAACTGCATTCAGAGGATGGCTGAGGAATAAGCTGCACAGAATCTGGGACCCTGATGATCATGGAGCCACTCTGCAGCCCCGCATGATAGAGGATAAACTTGTACTTTGTGGAAGCTACTCTTGTCATGACAGTGGAACCTAATTCTGATTGAGAATTTGCCACACAAGGTCAAGGCAGAGATGGGTACTGCGTGTGGGAGCTGGTGCTCCTAACCGAGGGAAGATGAGACAGGCAGAGAACACACTCCTCCAAAATAGTTGATTAAAAAAAGAAAAGAAAACTAAATAAAAAAGCATTTACAGAAATCAATTATTAGAATAAAAATGTCAACAGACAATAATCGTGTTGCATAGCTTGAATGTTTTTATGTTGATCAAATTGTTTTTCAGCACAGTCATTGACAGGTTAGAATGGAAAACACTCCAAATTTACAGAAGAAATATTGCTAATCAGTTAAGATGCTTTTCACAATGATATGACTTAACACAAATGCTTTGGTTGCTCCAAACAGAACGTGATGGTGGGACGGGCCGGCCATATGAATCCCATGCGTCTGGTTCCCCAGGCCGAGGTCACAGTCTTTGCCCTCTTTACTGAGACTGCTCTCAGTTTAGGATGACAGGCAAGAACCAAAGGGTGGCAATCCTTGTCTTCTCATTCAACAGTGCCAAGGTCTGAGGGACAATCTCTTGGGGACAAGTCACGAACAACGTGATACATATCTCTCTAGCAGCTACACAGCTTTGGTTTAGGAATCATTTCGATTCTTTGGAATATCAGACTCCCGGCATGATCAATCTTGAGCTCATTTAATCTAGCCCAATTTTCCCCTTTTACGTATGAGGAAAGTCAGGGCCAAGGGCAACACATCTTGTGCAAGTCCAGGTCTAGACCCAAGTCCTGCCTCACAATCCTTCCCCACTGATGCTGGCCCTTTGTTGCCTCTGGAGAATGAAGAGGCCTGTTGCTTACTCTCAGGTGATTTCTGAGGAACAAAAAATGTCAGCCACCAACACAGCAGCAGTAGCATCTACAGGAATCTATAAGCATATTTAAGTATAAATTACCGTGGGAGGAAACTAAAGACCAGTACAAGTGTGTGATCCAGTCACCCTGCTCCTTCCCTCCCCATGGCCAAATCGAGTTGAATCTTTCTCTCTGAAAAGTCAAAACACCAAGTGCATGTTTTAGAGAGTGACACGAGTGGGAATCTGCCATCCTGATTAAGTCAGCACATCAATGTGTCTAATTAGATCTTCCAGAAAGCGCCAGAATGTAGGATGTAAATGTCTTCTCCATTCACATCCAGCCAAATTTCCCAGGCAAAATATTTATCCTGATTCCGATGCAGTTCCTCACTGAGGACTAAAAAAGCCTTCTTAAGCATAATTGCTTCAGAGTATAAAGTGGTGAAACAGAACTCGTGAGTTATGGATTTTATTTGGTAATATCTATTTATTTGTACATTTTGCTCTTTTAGATAATTCTCTTGTCCTGTTCTTCCCAGTATATCATGAATTTTGTTCCTGGCAACATCTGCTGGCTCTGAACTGCTGACCTGCACAGTGGCAGAAAAAGGCCAGCTGCAACCTTTGGTAAGCTTTTTTAGAAATTAATGGAACCATAACAGCAGCATTTCTGCATCCATATTTAAACGCTTTGTTTTAAAAAAATACAACAGAACACTAATCTCAACACATTTAGACTTCGTAAGCTTTTTGCATATGTGATGATGCATTTTTAATCAAATGGCAATGATTTACTAACTTTCCTGATGGCGTTTAAATTTACACCAACATCCCCTTCTCTCCCTTTTTGGTGCTGTGCAGAGAGAATTTTTCTGTGTCCAGACTGGACAAAGGTACTGTTATGATACTCCTGTGTGCTCTTGCTCTTCTCTTCTAGAAGAAAAGCATTTTTCTACTTCTGTTTGTCATGTTTTTGAGCTAATTACGGTTAACTTTTCCAAGTAACTCATCCACAGCAGTGCCAGTTTATATTCCAGCTGATGAAAATTCACACTAATAGCATGATCTTATTCAATCCTCACATTCAACCTACAGTCCTAAGTATTGTTTGTCTTATTTTGCAGATAGAGGTAGAGCTCCTAAGTTACTAGGCCTAGAGTTAGTTACTGTTGAATGGGATCTGGAACCAAATCTCCTACTCCTTAGCTCCAAACTTCCACGTGTTTTTTGTTCCATGGTGTGGGGTTACATTACGGTGTAACACTGTCTTTTAGCAGTAAAACATCCATGGGGAAAAGATGGAAAATATACAAGTAAATATGCTAGTTCTTTTTTTTTTTTAAAAAAGATGACCGGTAAGGGGATCTTAACCCTTGACTTGGTGTTGTCAGCACCACACTCAGCCAGTGAGCGAACCGGCCATCCCTATATGGGATCCGAACCCGGGGCCTTGGTGTTATCAGCACCGCACTCTCCCGAGTGAGCCACGGGCCGGCCCGTAAATATGCTAGTTCTAAAGATAAACAACTTTTAGAAACCTGCCCACCCCTGTGTAGGTCTTCATCTATTTTGCAACCAGGAAGATGAACTAGTTAATTGGTCCAGAGTTTGCTAAATGTCAAAATGGTTTCATTTATGTGCACTATGATATGAAAGCATTCTTTTTCTATAAATACCGTTGAGAAACTGGCTTAGCTTCTTCTGGAAACATAAAAACTGCTATTAAAAAATACCACGTTAAAATGTTTATGTAATTTATTTTCCTTAAATAAATTTGCTACAATCCTGTCACAAATTTAAAAAAATTTAACACAGTATTCACAAGGCAGAATTCTTTAGGACAATCAAAATCATGGTGTACTTAGAATAAATTAACATCAAATTGTGTTTATATTCAGATGGTCTGATCCTCTCCTTTGAAATGAAATGGAGACCATTGTAACTGAGGGTGAATGAAGCCATTTGTTCTTTTATACAGAGACTCATTCTTTACATAAACTCATCAGTAATATGAATCAAGTTAGGAATCCTGAGAAACACTCACCCAAGGGCACGCACACATGTACACACACCCGCGGACAACCCTCTAGAAGCTGGGTTTCCCATGGTTCAATTACTAGACGATCTTTTCTCAGAAGGGCCAAAGATGCTGAATATTTAGATGATATTGTCCCATCTCCCCTCAGGAAAATTGTAACGTTTCAAGTGTAGTAGCTTGAAGTAGCAGCAATACATGTAGTAGATTCAGTAGTCAGTGATTCCAGTCCTGGGTTCTGAGTATACAGTAGGAGGCAAGCAGAGGCAAGAGACACACCTGCTTCTAAAACTAAGACACATGGGCCGGCCCGTGGCTCACTCGGGAGAGTGCGGTGCTGATAAAACTAAGACACATAATGACAAGAAGACATGGAGAGTCCTAATTCTCAGAGTCGCAGCTGAAAATTCACCTGAACATACATTACCAATCTGGTTCAGGCACGGAGTGTGACCCTGAGAGGAACTAATGCAGGGAGAGAAGCAGGGGCGTTCTGGACATGGTTCTCAGAAGCACGAGAATCGGAAGTGGCAGGGAGATGGGACAAAGGAAGGGAGGGCAAAAAAGGTGCTGCTTGTCCTTCAGCCTGAATTCCCACTTCCCTGCCCTTTAGTACATTCGTGAGGGTTTCCATAGCCTCAGGGGCAAGCGGACACATCTGTTCCAGCTTTGCCTAGAAGCACAGAGACAGCCCTTATAGTCCTACACACATAAACACACAGAACATCCAAGCAGCCCTAAATAGCCAGACCATCTCGTTTCTGGGAGGTCACAAGCACTGCTCGTGTCCCCTCTCAATGGGTCTGGTGATGTCCAGCGAGTAAGGCGTCAGGACGGGCCCCAAACTGAGTTCCCCCTTTGCTTATTTCTCACCATAGGAATATGGGCTAAATGCGCCCTAACTGCATGCGTGTATCTACACCAGTTCCTATGTACACGATACCTTTTCTACAGAAAGTTAAAGTGCCTGGGTTCAAATGTGCCCATTCCTTTCCCGCAGCTAAAAAGGATGCTCTTGGGAAAGAGGAATGAACGTTTTCACAGTCATCTTAACTGGGATCCAGCATTGGGACTAAGCCTTCTTCATACACGCGCAGAATCGCTTCGCACACAAACTTGTACTGGCTCTGGAAAAGAAAAGAAAGCTGTCAAGGCCGGCAGCTCCAGGAATGGTGCATCCCACCATGGATGTGCTGAGTCTCTTGCATTGTTCATAAACACTTGCTAAGTGCCAACTCTGAGCCACACAACAGGTGAACAGAGTGGAAAAGACCAACTGTGAACTCATAATTCCTACGTATTGGGGGGAAGGGCTGCTCTCACAGAGGCATGGGCAAAGTGTCACGGAAACACAACAGCAGGAGGACTGGCATTCTGGGGCAGTCGGGGAAGGAGTGCAGGTCCCGCAGGGCGGCCATTCTAGTGTAAGCAGAAGTGTGGCTGTCCCGAGACTGGCATGGCCGTTCTGAGAGGCATAGTCAGGGTCCCTGGATCCTGTCCCGAATGTTGCACCTGAGGAGGAGGGGCTGAACAGGTGGGCTGGGACCTGGCTGTGGAGCACCTTGCATTGACTGGGACAAGCTGTCTGGACTTTGTTTTAAAAAGAAAAGCCACTGAAAGCTGCTCTGCTAGATATGGTTATTTATATGAACACGCACCTAAGAAACATATTTTAGTGAAGTGTATGGGGGAAAAAAAGCATTTAGACCAAGCTTCTTCAGCTAGAAAAATCTACCAAGGTGACAGACTTTTTTCTTTGTAGCCAGCAATGAGGTCTTCCATACCACAAAACTAGGCAGAGAATGGCCTTAATAACATAAGCTGATTTTTTTCCCTCTTAACCAGATTTCCTGAGTACAAACTAATATAAAACTATAAGAGCTCATAATCTATTAGGGAAATCTCATAAACTTTGTTCACAAGCCTGTGAGGATAGAGAGCTGGCTGGGACACGGAACACCTGCTCCTTTCTTTGCTAACTCCTTCTCATCCATCCTGACAGGCCACTCCTCCAGGAAGCCTTCCTTGCCTGCCACTGTGTTCTCAGACACCCTTAAACTTCCCCCATTGCTGTTAAAATTTATAATAGACAATTCTCAGTTCTCCTACTAGATACAAGCTTGGATCTCTTCTGTTTGCACAATTATCTGTTGAATGAAACATAGGACAGTCCCCATTTTGCAGACGGGGAAGTTGAGGCTAGAAGAGATGTTAAGGGCCTATCCAAATGTGGCCCCATAAGGTGGAGCCTGAATCGTTCTCTTCCCACACCACCTTACTGACCGCCCCTCTTGCAGAAAACCCCAAGATTTCCTCTTGAGGACACCTGCAGTCTCAAGTACCCAGGTGTGACAGAGGTGGGAGAGAGCCCAAAGGAGGAGAGTAGGGCCATGTGAAATGTCTGCTGGGTCAAAAGGGTCAGTCAGGTCCAGGCAGTGGGGTGGAACCCTCGGTGGCCTTGCTTGCTTCTGATGGACAAATGATGGGCCAGAGGTCTACAGTGCAGAATGCAGCCAGGCCTGCCCCCTGGCAGAGCGCTGGCAGGAAATAAACCACAGAGGCAGCAGAAGTGTAGGCAGCACAACTCAGAGGTTAGGTGGGCATGGGCTTTGGAGTCATGCAGCCCAACAAGCTCTGTGACCTCAGTCAAGTGACTTGGTCCCCTTGACCTGTAAGTCCCTCCACCTGGGCCTGGTCCAGGGAAAGTGCTCAGGAAGTGTCAAGCCATCATTATTACTTTTACCATCAGAGTTCTACTCACTGATGTCTGCACCATCATGGCACGCTGGTCTCGCATTTTTCGGACAATATCCAGTGGGTAAACAGGCAGGTTCCTCTCAATTAAGCACATGGCTGTTTCCATAGTGACCAACACACCAGTTCGACCTATTCCAGCACTGGAGAGGGGAGAAAAGCAGACACGTTGGATATGCCTGAGCAGCATCTCTGCAGGACCCCGCTGGACTCCTAGCAGCTCCCACACTTACTCAGAAGGAACTTCCTTTGCTTGGCCTTCAAGAATACAAAACACACACGCAGGGTGTGCTCTCCAGCAGGCTGAAAAAGCCTGTCCTCATCTATCTGAGCCTGGGGCTTAACAACCAGTGGAAGGAAACCTGCTGTCGAGTGCAAAATCCACTCCCTACTGTGAAAATCAGAAGATGTAAGGACAGAGGAAAAGGTGGCAGTGGGACTTTCTTCTGAGCTACACTCACAAGTTTATGATTTCATGAAATTCCACATCTTTTGAAATAATGAGGAAATAAGTACTCACGGGTAAGAATACACAACTTTGGGGGATTGAGGGTGCGTTTGGTGTCTGCCAATTTTCTCCAGGTCTTTCCCAAGGGGTGCAGGTATTCCAAACAAAACAAAACAGCAAGTCCTAGTACCTGCAGTGAACTAAGACAGGTTCACCATCCACTCTCAGGGACCTCACATAGGTTACAAATTCCAGAAAGTCCGAGGAGTCATCAGGCACGCCATGGTCAGGCCATGCAACATACTGGAGATGTGTCACTGTGTGCTCCTCCCCAGTCTGTGGAAAATGCAGTGGCCTGGGTGAGTCAATCCAGATGGTAGGCAAGAGGACCCCAGCCCCATCCCAGACACCAGCCAGGGTGGCCCTGTCTACTGCCACTCCTTCTCCCACAGTGCACAGCCCTGCTGTGGCCCCTACCAACTCCTGCCCCCGCCTTCCCTAGACACTCTCCTCTTGGGCTCGGCTCAGGCCACCTCCCGTGGGACAGCCTCCTCGGCCACTTCTGCCCACGGCGATTTTGTCTGTTCGCTCCTATGGTACTTGCCCTTGAGGCCACATATGCTGGCTCTTTTTACTTACTTTTTTTATTGTGGTGAAATATACATAACATAAAGTTTACCATTTTAACCATTTTTAAATGTACAGTTCAGTGGCAGTCGGTACATTCACAATGTTGTGCAACCATCACCACTATTTCTAGAACTTTTTTATCACCTAAACTCTGTACCCATTATACAATAACTTCTCATTTTCCCCTTCTCCAAACCCCGAGCAATCACCGTTCTACTTTCTATGTTTATGAATTTGAGTATTCTAGGTACTTCATATAAACGGAATCACACAATATTTGTCTTTCTGTGACTGGCTTATTTCACTCAGCATAATGTCCTCAAGGTTCATCCATGTTGCAGCATGTGTCAGAAGCTCCTCCCTTTTTAAGGCTGAATAATGTTCCATTGCATGGATGGACGGCATTTGCTTATCCACTCACCTGCCGGTGGACACCAGGCTCTTTCCACCTCTTGCCTGCTGTGAACGGTGCTGCTATGAACCCCGGGCCCCGGCTCTTTGAAGGGCAGTTTTCTACATTTACTGACATGCTCACCGGGTGAAAACAAAGCACACCTGACCCTCCACCGTGCCCCCCTTGGGCCGCTGCTCACCTCGGCGTTGGTGACCAGCATTTTTCGGGACACGTAGGCGATGGTGCAGTCCTCTGACTGACACCGGATGTGAAAGCAGCCATGGTCCATGACATCGGGGGGATCGGGCCAGTACTGGTGACATTTAGTCTGAAAGGAATCACCGAGTGTGAGTTAGCCTCCTCTGTGGGGGTGTGTGCGTAACCAGTAACCACGGACAGACAGAATGGCCAGGCGTTGGCCGCAGTCCTCTCATGCACACCCAGTGAGAGCTGAGGGGAGGAAAACTCTGGCCAAGCCAACTGGCTCTGTGTATGCTTTGGGCTGGCATGTAGGTCAGAGGAAACTGAGGTGGGGATCAGCCTGCCAGGGGCCAGGCCACAGCTTCCCAATCAGCCCTGGGCTGGAGCCTGGAGAAAGAGGACAAGAAACTTATCTTCTCACCATCAGGGTCCATTCACTGGAAGAACAGCAGAGGCCTCAGACACAGGGCCTTGGCTATGAGCAACCTCTACTCGAACTTCCCCCATCCCAGAACACACACAAGGCAACTCCAATCTCTCGGGCCCTTCTCTGCTCTCAACAGCCCCTCCTCCCTCAGCCCCCTGCAGCACCCACCCCAACCCCCTTGAGGTAGGAGGCCCTGGCGGATAGGAGTTCAGAGCACGCATCTGGGTGTGAGAACTCCACTGGAATCATGTCCTGCCTCACTTGTCAGCCCTACGACATCACACGTTTTGCTTAACCTCTCTGATTTCCACGTTTCACATCGGGAAGATGGGGACAGCACCTGCCTCACGGATGGTGACAGATGCTGGAGACAGTGTGCGGTGCTGAGCCCACTGGGGTGGTGGGGGATGGGGGGCAGGTGTCAGGTCAATTCTAGTCAATATAATGGTCAGGCCATTATTCCTGTTGTTACGGATTCCACATCAGCCTGAGTAAGGGCGATCAGAGATTTCACAAAAATCTAGATTAAGGAAATCCCCCCCACTGAGATGAATATCGTTTTCATTTGAACAGCAACTTGGAGGCCCTCAAATGCTTTCACAGGTGACTCCCCATGGAATGACGCTCCCCATCCAGCAGACAATGAACCCAGGGCTCAGCAGGGTCCAGCGACTTACCCAAGGCCACAGTCTGGTGCTCTTCCTCCACACACCACAGTGACTCTCCATATGGCTGTGCTTTCCCCAGACCAACCGAACCCACCACCCTCCTCGCTTTCTATTCCCCCTTCCAAGCCCTGCAGCTTGCTCCATAAGCCATCTTAGCTCCTGCCTCTGGTTTCTAAGCAAAATTTGGGGCTAAGCTGTCCATCCCATCATAGTTCCTCTGCCAGCCAAAGTCTGACTCATTAAAAAAATATTTTCCCCCCAAGCTTATAGTTGTTTATGGCAGAAAGACACACATCTGGAAGCAGCTTTTCTATTCTTATTTTCAAATGTCACAGTGAATACTTGAAATTATAGTATGCTGCTGGAAACCTGGAGTGAAGAATTTACTTAGAAACCTTAGACATGGGTATTTCAGTTAGTAGCTCTTTCCTGATTCTTCTTAGACTCGAAGGGGTTGCTGTCTGTAGAACCCAAGGCACGGTTGATAAACACCGGAAGGGTAAGCTCCTGCCCTGTAGCCTCCCAAGGGTACTGCCCACAAGATAAGTGGGGAGGAGATATTCTCTGAAGTGTTTGCCCTGTGCAAAGCAGAACTACAAATACCCGTACTCCCAGAGAGGCTCCCCTTATTCCACTGTGAACATGAACAGAACTGGAATCTCTCTTTACCTCTGATCACATTTAGATTTTAGGTCTATTTGGGTTTGAAAGCATTGAGGGTATAATGGAAAGAAAGAGTTTGCAGAGATCCTGAGTTGCAATTCTGGCTGATAAGTTCTACTAACCAACTCTGTGATCTTGGGCAAGTTACTTAACTGCTTTGAGCCTCAGTTTCCACATTACTGCTGCTGCAGCAGGGGGTGATGATGCTGAAGCCTACTATCTTCTGAAGAGTGTATGCCAAGCACTGAATGGTGCTTTTCAGGGACATTTTATCTTGGCCTCAAAACAACCCTATGAGGTACGTACTAGGATTGTCTCTGTTTTGTATATGAGTAAACTGAGGCTCAGTGAACAAATCAACTTGTGTCAGATCACATGTACAGGAACTGGGCAGAGCTGGAATTTCACGCCAAGGCTCTGAGGATTAAATAGGGCCTAACACCACAGGGAGGGAAGAAGAACTTCTGCAGAAGTCGTGAAAAGGCAGGGGAGGTGAGTGCAGCTGGTGGGCTGGCAACGGGCTGCTGGGGGTGAAACCCTGGGCTGCCAGGACTCAGAATGCACACTGCTCAGGGATTTGCAGGCCTGAATGAGGACTGTTTCTCTTGCTCAGCTTCCAAGTGTAACTTGAAAAGAGGGCTCAGGGAGGGAAGCTGACCACAGGATGGCTTCTGTAAGGATGTACCTTTCTGGACCAGAGGCAATGTGTCAGAGACTGGGTTCCTGGTGGGGGAAGAGCATAAGCTCAGGAGAACAGACCAGACAGGGTTTGGTGGGAGAGTCACAGACCCAATGAAGAAGGCTTTCCAGTGAAAAGCTTGCTTTCTTGCTCACTTACTCAACAAACATCCTGGGAGAAAAGGCAGGGACAGAGGTGGCTCACATGGGGGGTGGAGTGGACGTCCTGAACAGAGGGGACGGGGAGCTCAGTACTGAAGGACTAGGGTGCTCACCAGGGGGGTGAGGCGAGGATGGATCATTCAGCAGAGGAAATGGGATGCACGTGGTAAAGAGGTACAAGGTAAAGAGGCACCTGGTGGACCTGGGGAACAAGAGGCAGTTCAACACAGCTGCACAGAAGGCAGAAGGTTCACATCGGTCTGGTGGGTGGGGGTTGGTGAGACTGCTCTGAGCATCTGAGGACCCACTGAAGGGTTTGAGCAGGAAAACGCTGGGCTCAGGTCAACCCCTTGGAAAGGTCTAGCTGAGAGCTGTGTCAATGGGTGGACCAGACTGGGAAGACTCTAGGCCCGGAGGCCACTAAGGAGGCTGTCGTTGTTCCTGGAGGGGAAACACAAAGACTCTGAGAGAAGGGGATGGAGAGGAGAGGACGGATTGGAAAGTTACAGAAGGCAGCTGGTGGCAGACCACGGTGAATGGATGCCAGAGTTGAAGAGAAGGGAGGAGCCACTGCTGATTCCAGATTCCTGGCTTGGGTGACTGGGCAGACATATGCTCTGGCCAGAATGGTGGGCTCAGGGGGACAGACATCTGTGTGCATGTGTGTGTGTGTGCACTTTGGCTCTGGGTACCCTGTATGTGAGCACACCCAGGTAGATGTGTCCTGTCAACACATGAGCAGATGGGTTTGGGGTCAGGAAGGAATCGATGTCAGATTCACTGGTTGAACCACCCAGAGGGCCAGACACAACCGGCCTCAGAAACAAGTTCCCTGGGGAGGGGCCTCGTCACTCGTGCACATTTTACCAAGCAAGGTGTGTTCAACAGCTAACGGGAACAAGGGATTTTACTGCACTGTGTGCTGCCCCAAACCTCGTTCCGTCACCTCATGTGATCATCATTACAACCCAGGGGCTAGTGTGCACAGAGCAGCAAGCCCATTCGCCTCTGGATCCAGAGTCACTGCACCACATGAAACACCAGCTATGGGACAGGTGCCGAGTCTAGAGTAGTGCACTCCTAATGCTCAGAACAACCCCGAGAGACAGGCATTACCACCTCCTATCTAGCAATGGGGAACCTGAGGCTTAGAGTCCTAGGCAAAGTTAAAGAGTTAAAATTTGTGATGCCAGAGGTCAAATGCCCCGTCTTGCCCCAAGGCCTATGCCTTTGATAACCAGCAGGCCAGAAGGAAGAGTGTCCATATTATTCACAGACAGACTTAAAATGTAATTTTTTCAGCCAAAAGAAACATCTGTGATGGAAGATGAGAGAAAATGACTTTTCAATGGAAAAGTTATACCTCTAGGAAGAAACCCACAAGCCTCAAGGGAGAGCACAATGCAACATTTTGGGTGGGAATAAAAAAAGGGAGAAGTCAAAGTGATCCTGCAGGGGGAGCCTCTCACTGACCACTGGGCCATTCTAGGCTTCTGAGGAGGCTTTCTCTGCAGAGCGATGGTGGGGGACTCCACAGGCCTTTGGGGAGTTCCCCCCACCCCTGACTAAACACAGAGTATGAGAGAAAACAAATAGGACACGCTGAACATTTCATTTCTCAGAAAAAGAAAGGGGCAAAGATGCTTGCCTGGGATGACTGGCTCCACAGCCGGAAGAACTGGTGGGTGTGATGAGGACGAGATAAGGACTGCAGGATAAAGGGCTCCAGATTGGTCCTCTGACAGTTTGTAATAGTAGAGGGAGGAAACGTGCACCCTGGAGTTCTGAAGAACGGGTTTCTAACAACTGATAAACAAGAGAGGTAAGGGCCAGAGGTGGTGAAGGGAATGCTAGGCCTCAAGGGAGATAGGAATCTCTAATGCAGGAAACTGAAGGAAGCAGCTAGAATGGGTTCAATTAGGAAGAAAGGGCTGGGAAACAAAGAAACCCTCCATGAAGACCTCAGATGAGCCCAGGTTTAGAGCAGATGCCAACCAATGAGAGGAGTGGACGTCAGCAGCACAGAGCAGAAGGGCAGGAGCCGTAAGAGCAGCTGGGGAAGCCGAGGCCTCTCAGATCAATAGAAAGGGCCTTTTCTCCTGAGCTGGAGCAAGCAGAATAAGGGAAAGAAGGCTGCCATCCAGGGCAGATCATCTGTCACCAACCGTAAGACGACAAACCATTCCTGTTGGGGCTCCCTTTTCTCTGAGGAGAAGAATGACCTTCCAGTTGGAAAGGGTGAACTTTAAAGGGGAAAGAGAAGCCCAGCACAGACAAGAAGACAGTGATGGCCCCGAGCTGCCCAAAGGGATTCAGGTGTCGGCTTACTGTCTTCTTATTACCTATAAAATACCAGAATGGCCCAGAAAAGGGCCTGCAAAGTATGGGATGCCTGAAGGAACATTAGGAGAAGACTGTGTCTACATTAGACAACACAGAACCACATGGTGGGAAAATGATCTTTTTTTCATGGAATATTTCTGATTGTGCCTGGGAGAGAGCCTTGATTAGGGTCTAGCATAGCTCTAACACTACCTCCCTCTATTATATTTTAACTCTATTTTTATAATAGAGAGTGAGAGCAAGCAGGCCTCAGGCTCAGAGCCTGGAAGGCAAGAGTATTTAGAATTTAATAATGTTGTTTTGTTGTCTTTGTATTTTAACACATACGTTCTATTTATGGCTAGAGATACTGGACTTTGATTTAAGAAATATCTTCTAAGGAAACTGATTAAAACAAAAAGGGGAGTCAATTTAAAGAATAATAATAAATAATACTACAATAAAACAAAGATAGTACAGTCCTAGTAAGGTGTTAGGGTGGCACCCAAATTACTGCTACTGCTACCTAACATTTATGTAATATTTATTGTGTGCCAATTACTCTTCCAAGCAGCCTACGTATATCAGCTCATTCAATTCCCCCACAATCCTACGTGACAGGTGCTATTATTCTATTGTACACAGAGTGGTTCTGTAGTTTTCGTAAGTTACACAGGCAAAAAGTGATTGAGCCAGGATTTGATTTTTTTTTTTTTTTTGGTGGCTGGCTGGTATGTGGAACCGAATCCTTGACCTTGGTGTTATAAGGCTGTGCAGAGCCAGGATTTGAACTCAGGAGGTATGGCTTTAGTCTGCTCAAGTCTTAGCCATTATACCACAGAACCAGACTGCTGCAAGCACTTCAGAAAAATAGAGAGGATGGTACTGTGAGATGGCAGGGGTTCCCTAAGTTCAAAAAGAGTCCAAGTAACTTCATTTCACATTGAAAACAAACTTTTAAAAATCACAAAAAACAAAACAAAAATAGATAAAAACAAGACTTCCAGAAGAAGAGATCAGGTGATGCCATAGACCTGTTGCGCTGTTTTTCAGCCAAGCCTCTGACAGTCTCTCATGGTAACTGGAGAAATGGCAAGAGACAGGAGCAGGGCTGTGAGGATTAACAACTGCCCTCCAAAGTGTTCTCTTAATGCCTCTGACTAACAGCATTCCAGAAGGATGTTTCTACTGCCTCTTGAGGACTTCAGTTTTATTTATTTTATTTTATTATTTTTTATCCATGACTAATGTGAAGAGAAGAAATTCTGATCAAATCTGTGAGTTTCAAGAAGCTAGAAGTGATAGCCAACACAAAGAAAGAAGGAAAGCCCAGAAAGCCCCAAAGAGCTCTCTAAAGGCCAGATCTGAGAACTGAATCCAACCAATGATGATGACACAAAACAGAAGCCAACATCTGCTGGATACCTGCAGAATGCAGTTCTCTCATCTTTTTATATGTACTGTCTCAGTCTTCATAAACCCTCCATGGTGGGTACTATTATCATCTGCATTTTACATACAGGAAGGCTAAGGGTCAGAGAGGTTCGGTAACTTGCTCCAGAGAAACTATGTTTTGAACTCAGTCTGGCCCCAGTGTGCTGGATGAAGGTTCCAAGAGTCAAGGGCCTGAGTACTACATGGGAAAAACTGCCTCAACGGCAATATCAAGACAAACCCCACACAGTTTCTGCTGACCACAAGCTTAATGGAGGCCTACAGTTATTGTCAGATATCTGAAGGGGCATCATATAAAAGAAAGGGGTAATTTATTTTGCATCTTCCATGCTGCAGAACTAGATGGGATAGAGGTTAAAAGTGAAATGTATTTCAGTTCATTGTAAGGAGGAATTTTCTAAAAATTAGAGCTGAGCACTCATAGGATGGACCTTAGAAGTGTTTTAGAAGAGGTGGGGAGCCACCTGTCTGGGACCACACATGTAAAAGCCCTTTGCAATCCATGGGCTTCTGTAGAATTGGCAGATTAGTAGGAATTCTTATTGTGTTGTTTCAGGTGAGATGGAAGACTGATCTCAAATGTACTATCCATTCCAATTCCTGTGTGTTCTGATTTTCAACATGGATTAATTTGGCATTCTGAACTACATACTGAGGAGGGAACCTGAGAGGCAGTGACACACAGATCATTCAAAGCAGATGGCTCTCAAAATTAACATTTGATTTTATGTATTTTTGAATAAATGTTTCATAATGAAGACATCCAGATGCATCCAGAAGTTAGGGAATTCATGATATAGGTATCTCATGCATACTGACTTCTGTTATATAATCAGTAATCTGTTTCTATGGAAATGGCACAGACATGTAATTTCTCTTACTTTTTACAGCCACTGTTAACCTGGCATGTATACTGCTCTTTCAGAACATGTACTTGTCCTGGATGGGAGAGGTCACAGCCAACACAGGCGTTTTGGGGCAAGTGAGGGGAGGTCAGAGGAGCTGGCTTCTGACTTGTTATAATGGATCCAAGCCAGGAGTGGGTAAGGGGAGGGCTGAGCTTCCCATCACTGGGGACATCCAATGGTGGCTCTATATGGTAGATTTACAGGTCACATGGGGGCGAGACTGGGAGACATTTAAGACTCTTCCCAGCTCCACGATTCATGTTCCACAGAGCACAGTGTGACAGTGCACACATTTGAATTGGAAATTAAGCCACTTACCCGCCCTCGCTCTGTGAGAGTAGTCAACATGACGATGAGTGACAACTTCTGATCCCAGACGACTTGCCAAAACTGTGCGCAGGTATGCGGCAGGGGTCCCTGAGTGGCGATGTACTTGTTCACAAGGTTAGCAGCAGGAATTTCCATCTGCCAAGAGATTGGTAAGGCATCGGAATCTGTTACTGCCACCAGGAAGACAGGAAACTGGACTTTAAACTCTCCTACTTGCTAACTGATATCACACCAGAAAAATCTCTTTTTATCAATTCAGGGCGAAGAGAAAAAACAATAAAAGAAAAAGGTATTTCTAAAAATCCTTGAAAAATATTTGACAGTAACACTAGCATTAGATCTCTAAGATAAAACTGTATGATACTCAGAAGGCGAAATTCACAAATGTGCCTGCAAGATGGCAAAAGAGTTTAAAAGCCTTTCATCGGTCTATTCTAAATATAGTCAATATTGGTTATCTGCATTTTCAGCAATACATACCAATCTCCGCCCCCAAGTCTTTCCTTATGCAGAATTTTCTAGCAAAATTAATTTACTTTTTTTTAAAAGCATAAACCACACAGGCTTATACCAACAACTCTTGCTGCACTTTGCTTTCTGCAACTTGCAATGCTTTTATCATTAAATTGGTGAATTGTGACATTAAATGTTAGAATGTTTTCAAATGAATATTTCAGATTGCAATGTCTCTCTCCCATCCTTCTCCATTTTTACTTTTTCCCCTCTGGGCTGAGTCCTTTTATGAAAGAACACTCAGAACCTGCTGAGCTTTGGACTGACACTGTGATTCATTCATTCTTAGGTGCAGAAGGTAAACGGAGGCTCCTAACTCATGGTTTCATTGGTGTTTGGGTTAATGGCTTCCTCAAACCTGAGGTAACACAAAGAGACTGGGCTTCGTGGTGCTGCTGCCCCTACAATTTCTGATGCTCTGCTTTTAAGGCACCAAGAATGTTGAGTGAGGGTCAATGAATCCTACAGACATTTTGGAATAAGTTGAATCACTGATCAGACCAATTTTTATTAGGGTAGTTCTTGATATTTTGCTATAACCTGAAAACTTAATCTGAGAAGTTGTCTGTTTAGGGATGCCTGGTTAGCTCACTTGAGAGAGCATGGTGCTGATAACTCCAAGGTCAAGGGTTCAGATCCCCATACCAGCTAGCCACCAAAAAAAAAAAAAAAGTTTGTTTAGATCAGGGGTTGGCAGACGATATGTGGCTTGAGGGCCAAATCAGCCTGCCACCTGGCAAGCTAAGAGTGGTTTTTAAAATTTTTAAATGGTTATATTTTAAATGCAAAGACCAAATATTTACTATCTGGCTCTCTAGAGAAAACGTTTGCTGACCCAGAGTTTAGATGAAGAAACTGAAGTTCAGAGAGGCCAACTGAGTTGCCCAAGATGCGTTTTCAGAGAGAGAATGAATGTTTTTCCCACAACATGTGAAACCTTTTACTTTTTCTTTTCATGTTATATATACAGAGGAGATTTTATTTTTATTTTTATTTTTAGGCAGATGACACTAATAAGATGGGGAAAAACACAGAAAGTTACAAACATACCACTGGCAAAAACAAACACCTGGGGCCGGCCCGGTGGCGCACTGCTACAGTGCGCCGCTTGGGAGTGTGGCGGCGCTCCCGCCGAGGGTTTGGATCCCACATACAGACCGGCCGCTCACTGGCTGAGCGAGGTGCGGGTGCAACACCGGGGGTTGCAATCCATTGCCAGTCACGAAAAAAGACAAAAAGGAGAAAAAAAAAAAAAGAAAAAAAAGAAAAAAAAGAAAAACAAACACCTAAATGGCAGCAGCCCAGTACAGAGGCGCACGGACAATGGAGTTAGAAATACAGAATGGATTTTGGTCCCATCTTCTGTTAGCTTTGTCACTTTTCGAATTACTTGCTCTCTCTGAATCTTAGTTTTCTCCTCTGGAAAATGAGCCTCTTTTGCCTGGCCTCACATGGCCAAAGTGGTGTTGAAACGAGGTGGGGAACAGGAATGCACTTTGTCAACCTCAAAGCACCACACGGGCCACTACCACCCTTGTTACAACAATGAATATGCTCTTTCTTAATACCCAGAGTCCTAACTTACGTTCACATAACTTGCATTGATATAATCTTCATTTCCCTGCAGTGATACCCGGGTGGTGTCATCTGTGGGGGAGAGAAAAATTTACCAATTATTCTGAGCGTTATTTTTTTCATATCAAGTAAACAAGAGTTCAGTTCCCAGCCCCATCTGCAGCTCTTGCTTCATTAGCATAAACACTATTCCCCAACAGTTCAGAGTCTGAAATGGCTGCAATAAAGGCGGTGGTGTTTACAGACACACTGAAAATCCTTCCAGAATACAAGACAATCTGCTTTAAAAAGGGAAACATTATCTCAGTGTAGGGGGGCGAGGAGGCATTTGGGCCAGATACTCACAAGGCAGCACATCTTTATACCGGTTTTTGTCCAAATTTTGAGGCAGTTTTGCAAACGTGATGGCCAAACCAGGCTTCTTTCTGTAGAGTTGCTATATGACAAATACAGAAGTAAAAGATCATTGCAAAAAATGGCTATTTCTATGAAGGAAGTGTGAAAACATACTGGAACAATAAAGTTTACCATTCATGGCACTGAAATCTTAACATTTTAAGGTGATTAAATATTAAAAGAAAAACTTCCAAATAAGAAATTCTACAATTCCATGAGAAATACTTCAATACTTTTTTAAAATTTGAGGATTACTGGAAAAAAGCCATAGGAAGGGGTCTGAGTGACAGACCATGGTATGTAAAACCTTATCTTTATGACAATTACTTGACAAAAGCTAAAAGCAAATAGAGGGGGAAAAAAAGAATTCTGACTCAAAATTAAATGGAAATCATGTAATTTAGCCTAAAACCATTTCCCTCCAATGCAGTAGAGTGAACCACATCCTTTGCTTAAGAACATGAGCATTTCATTCATTTCATAAGTGTATTTTCCACAGTAAAAAGCTTTAGTCCCAATACATAGTAAACTTCATTAAAAGAGGTATTTCCCTATATATATAATCACTACCAAAATGTTCAAATAAAAGAGTCTTTGCATATCTATAAGCACATATTAGACACATTTGTACAGGACCTGACACGATTTCCACAACAGCTCTGTGAGAGGTATTAATAGTATTCTTATTTTGCAAGTGAGAGCCAGAGGTTAAATAAATGTTTTTTGCTCAAGATCACAAACAAGAGGATGAAATCAGACCTGACTCCAGTGCTTGTGTTTTCTTTTCTACACAACTGTTTCCCCCACTTTGAACAACAGAGGTAAGACCTTTTCACCAGTGGTTTTTATTAATTGTATGGGAATTTAAAAACAACTTTTTTTTCAATGTTGGAAGTAATCTATATTTTTTTGCAGAAAATTTAGGAAATTCAAACTAGTATAAAGAAAAAAGATTATCAGTAATTTCACAACTCTGAGATGACCTCTTCATATTTTTTTTTCCAGCTTATTTTTCTGTGCTTACATGTATACAAATATAGGTAAGTATAAAGTTAGCCCTCCATGTTTGTGAATTCAACCAAATGTAGGTCAGACACATTCGGGAAAAAAATAAAAAATAACACAAATAAAAATGTGCAGTACAACTATTTACATAACATTTACATTGTAGTAGATATAAGTAATCTAGAGATGATTTAAAGTACACAGGAGGATGTACATACGTTATATGCAAATACTAGGCCATTTTATATAAGTGACTTGAGCATCCTTGGGGGGTTCTGGAACCAATCCCCTGTGGATAACATATATGTAAATACATATAATACATACGAGTAGTCTTCAAGTTCTTGGAAGGATTCATAGAGTGCCCTTGTATATACACTACATTTTAAAAAACAAAAAATGAGATTGAACTACATATTGGCAATTCCTGTACTATGTTCTATGGAACCCAAGTGTCCTAAAATAAGATAATAGGTATTCCTTAGAAAAAATTTCAAACTCAAAGAAATTTGGGAAATACTTACCATATGTTCTATGAATCTCCAATAAGACAAATCTTAAAATGCATAAACTTGTTTTAATTCTGATCAGCTGAGCATTTCTCAAGCAAATCTGGCCATAGAAGGCCTCAGCAACTCATAAGAAGTGGTTCTGGGAAATACTGCCATAATTTTGAAGACTGTTTCCCCTTACTTATTACATAGCGTGCAATTCCCCATGTCATTAAATATTCTCCACACACACGACTTTCAATGGCTCAATAATGTAGTTTACTGTAATTTAACTTTATCTTACTTTCTCATTAGGCTGTTTTAAATTCTTTTACTCTGGGCTGAGCCCATGGCGCACTTGGGAGAGTGCAGCGCTGGGAGCGCAGCAGCGCTCCCGCCGCGGGTTTGGATCCTATATAGGGATGACCGGTGCGCTCACAGTGCTCACTGGCTGAGCGCGGTGCGGCCGGTCTCAAAAAGGACAAAAAAAAAAAAAAATTCTTTTACTCTATAAATTTCTAAGAATAGAATTACTGAAATTTCTAAGAATAGAATTACTGCAGCAAAGCATATTTTTATGGATAAAACTCTTTGATACATACAATCAAGTTGTCCTACAGGGATGGATGAGAATGTTTAGTTCGCCAAATTGTGATCAGCATCCTCAACTAAGATGTCTTTGCAATCTGAATAGGGATGCTGAACATTATTTTTCCCCCTACATTTTTGCGAATTGTATTGTTTTGTAAACGGGCTTCTGTTAGTCTGTCTGTCTCCTGTTAAACAAACAAATTGCATAGAACTTGGCGGAAGAGAATTAACATGGTGATTTGGGGTCATAATAATACTGCCATACCTTATACCTTTACCAATATTTAGGGTTTCCAAACTCTCCAAGAGCTCAGCTCCTGATCATTTTTACAGGTTTAGTTCATAACAATCAAGCAGCCACTGAACAACTTCTTAAATATCTGCAGGCTTTAATAGACACTGTGAGCTCATTCTAGAAATAAATTCACGATTTATTGGAGGTTTTGGTTTGACTCTCTGGCAGAAGGATATCTGAGTCAGTCAAATTTACCTAACCCTAACTGATTAACTGCTCAGAGGTGAACTTATGTGAACATAATCAGTAAAGCTAATCGAGAGGTAAAAAGAGATTGTTTTTTTCCAATAACGAAGATGTAAATGCCATCAACTTCAGATGGTCTAGCAGAAAGGCACGCAGACTAGCAAAAGGCTTTAATTACCATAAGATTTTAAATGTATGTCAGCAGTAATGATCTGTTGATAGGATTGTGAAGTACTAAAATAAATTTAAAAAAAAAAGTACTATGGCAGTGTTTTAAAATTTTTGAACATGCACAGTCTGGGCTTTATCCAACAGAAACACATAAAGATACACGTCAGAGAAGTCTACCTGCAGCAAAATATTTATTTACGGAAAAACAGAAACCTGGAAACAGCCTGAATATTTCCCAGCAGGGAGAATTGACTTAAATTATGATACAATCATAACACAAAATTCTGTGCTAGTTGTAAAGAGAGTATTGGTAGACTAAAAGTACAGGTTTAGAATGATGTCCATTCATCTACTTTTAAGTGGAAGAATGCAAGTTATTTAAAAACACAACGGTGATCCCATTTATATAATAGCAGCAAACATACACAGTGTATATAATGTGTATATACACAATCTTGTGTGTGTACTTATACATGTAGATAAAATACGTTTGCATGAGCACTGGGACTAGTGTGGAAAGATACACACCAAGTTGTTATTTGTAAATTATAACAAAGAGCAAGAAATTGAAGGGGATGGGGGTCAGGAGACAACTTTATTTTTGCTATTTCTGCATTATTTGAATGATCACAAGGAGAATTATTTTTAAATTTCAAATGACTGAGTGACAAAAATAAACAACACAAAGGAAATCTTTTTATAAAATTAGAAAAAGTTTTTACAAAAAGCTGGGTGAACAAATGAAAGATAAGATGTTTTTGGCCTTTGGAAGGTTTGACAGCACACTCACATTTACATCTGCTGTTGCACAGGCAACACTGAACAGGACTGAAGTAATTCAGGGCAAACAGGATTCCTACATATGCTTCTGAAGTGTAAGAGTTGGTTCTCCGGGCTGGCCAGTTAGCTCAGTTAGAGCATGGTTCTGATAACACCAAGGTGCAGGGTTCAATCCCTGCACCAACACCACCCCCCCACCAAAAAAATAAAAGAGTTGGTTCTGTAGTGCCTTCGATTTATGGACCTTTCTCTAGACCCCGTGGGCTCCTGGCAGGCTCGGTGTGGAAGCGCTGCTCTTAGAACAGGGTGGTAGAATGGTAAGTTATGTGTTGGAAACACAGGTATGTCTTTCTGGAATGGTCAGGGATCAAGAGGAAAGAGTTAAAGCTTTATGATATTGACCAGAATTTGAGAAAGGGCTTTTAAAAGAACTATTCATTGGAAAAATACAATTTGCTCCTGTATTCCTGGGCTAAAGGTGTGTGAGGCAGACAAGATCTCCTGGCTGCAGATCCCTTACATTCTGTCCTAGAATGAGGGTAACCAGGAGGCTGAGAAGCAGGGTCACAATGTTAGGGGATTAGAAAACCACTTAGTTTTATGGAAAACTATTAATTTTTATCTCCTATAATGCTTTGTTTTCATCCTATCAGAGTATAGTTCTAAGAAGCTCTGAACATTATAAAAAGATTGGCTGAGAGGGGTTGCTAAGAAACAACTGGATTTAAATTACAGTATCAATATCACCCGCTCTGGCCTCCAAAGACAAAAAATTGAACAGTGGGGGCTGATGCTCTGCAGAGCAGTACGGGTGGGATGGATCAGAAGACACGGTTTGATAGTTTGAACATTCTTCTTTGAACATGTCATCTAGCATTAGAAAGGGCACCAGGAGATGACTCTGATCTCCTCACCTTTCTCACTCAACCAAAGATGTGAAATCTAGTCACATTCCTTATGAGGGCTATAGACACCCAACTGGCTCCAACCAGAGGATGCTGGCGAGGCCCAGCACTGCAAAAGGAAGCACTCCACCAACTGTATGAACAGATACATGCAGAATTCTCACTGGAGTTCATGAAGGCTGAGTACCCAAGAAGGGGGAAGAAAAAGGGAAAAGACAGAAAAAAAAACAAGGTGTGGGAAGAGAGTTGAGGGGACCACAAGTAATGAGAGAACAAAGAGCAGAAACAGATTCCCTTTCATGCCCTTGACAATAACCCAGAGTCCACTCCAAGGCAGCCCACTGCAGGGCAGCCCACTCCAGGGACAGCCCACTCCAGGGACAGCCCACTCCAGGGCAGCCCACTGCAGGGACAGCCCACTTCAGGGACAGCCCACTCCAGGGACAGCCCACTCCAGGGCAGCGCACTCCAGGGCAGCCCACTTCAGGGCAGCGCACTCCAGGGCAGCCCACTCCAGGGCAGCGCACTGCAGGGCAGCCCACTCCAGGGCAGCTTTAGCCACGAAGCTGTTCTCTTCATGCAGGCAGGAATCTTGCTGCTTTTGTTCACTACCAGA